CCCAGTTTTAGCCATGTCCATGTTGAATTATGATCATGCTTTCCATCAATATTTCTCAGGTGTTTTCCATGTAGTGGTTTATTTTTCCAGCTATTTAATTTCTTTTCAAATTGTTTTTTCTCATATTGAGTATTTGTTTCTGTTGTTTTCAAAATATTCTCCATTTCACTGCTTTCATTAATGTTTCTCTGCTTTCACTGATATAATCATTTAGGTTTCTTTTTTTCCCCCTCTACCTCCTCCTGTATTTGCAGTAATCCACAGCCTCCGATTTTTCGTGGGAAACATATTCTGTCCCCATCGCTTTTTGGGATGTAGTGTGTGATGCATGTTCATTAGTTTCCCTGTTTTTTGATCCAATTCTTCTAGTTTGTTTTGAATCCAATCTATTATTCCGGCTGGGTATATAATTACTGGAACGCCTCATGTGTTTATGGTTTTGATTGCATTTCCCCCATTTAACTTTGATTTTAAGATTTTCCACAGTAGTTTGGTATATTTTCTTTTTGTCCATTCTTCAACTTTTGTGTGCATGATGGGTCTATTCCATTGTCATGCTGGGCCGTGGACATTGCCTTGTTAAAAGCTCATTCTGGATATCCACAGACCTTCAGGGCTGCCTTTAGATGTCTGTCTTCCTTCTTCTTCACTTCTGTGGAGGAGGGAATGTTTCTTGCTCTGCGGTTTAGTGTCCTGATGACCCTTAGTTTGTGCTGTAGTGGGTGTGTTGCAATGTTGCACTGTTAATGACTGTTAACAACCCATGACAATGGGTGGAGAAGGACTGCAGAATTGGGATTTTCACACACCCCCATCCATTGTCCATCTAAGGAGCCTATTCAGACCAGGGGGAAGTGAAACCAATATGGAGGATATATCAGGGGTCTCCTACCAACTCTCCTCAGACTGAAGAATCTATTTTAATGTGAGTAGCGAAACATTTCAGCCTACTAAGAAAGAAGTCCAGTTGCCATGACTCAACTTCCAGATTTTTTATATGTTTTGTTATACTTTTTTGTAGCTAATTTGTACTTTATGTAAACTATGTTTTCATCCCTGGAATTAAATTAGTGTATTTTATAGTTGATTTGTAGACAGAGGTCTTAAGCCATATGTTGTTTAATTAAAAAAAAAAAACCTCTTCTTTTCCTTATTGTACGTTTTTTTGTTTTGCTTTTGGACCTTTCTCCATAATTATTATGGCTCTTTGTCTTTTAGCTTGTAATCGTTTTTCCCCCCTTCAGCTTGGGTGATTGTTAGTTCGGTCAGGTGAGGAGGAGGAACAGCAGTTCAATCGTATATGCCAATAAAGTTCAGACAGGCAGAGAACATAATGTCTTGATTGTGAAAGGCATGCACCATGGCCATGTTGCCATACTAGGAAAATATGGTGGAATATGCAAAGTCATGAGACCAGAGGCGGACTGGCACCAAAATGAGAAAAAATGTGGGAAGAGTTGTGTCTTATTCCCAATGCATCATATTCAGAGAGAGCAGCATTCCATAAATGTACATCTGTTGTAACTGAGTGCTCTGAGCATGAAAAAGCTTGCTGCATATAACCCCATTCACAATAATGCTGGATGTCTAACAGGCATCTGCAGCAATGGGTGTGTCACCATCAGAGGCAAAGGATGGTTGAGGTTTTGCTTCCCTTTCATATGGTCATTTGATACTTGTTGGGAGCCAGTTTTGACTAAAAGGTCTAGTGGTGTAAGGTAAAGGTAAAGGTAAAGGTAAAGGTTCCCCTTGCCAATTTTTGTCCAGTCGTGTTCGACTCTAGGGGGCGGTGCTCATCCCCGTTTCCAAGCCATAGAGTCAGTGTTTGTCCAAAGATAATCTTCCGTGGTCACATGGCCAGTGCGACTTAGACATCGAACGCTGTTACCTTCCTACCGAAGTGGTCCCTATTAATCTACTTGCTTTTGCATGCTTTTGAACCACTAGGTTGGCGGGAGCTGGGACAAGCGACGGGCGCTCACTCCGTCGCATGGATTCGATCTTACCACTGCTTGGTCTTCTGACCTTGCAGCACAGGCTTCTGCGGTTTAGCCCGCAGCGCCACCACGTCCCTAGTGAAGTGATGTACTAAACAGCTAAACAAAACTGTATGTTTACTTTTGAGGAAACCCTTCAATTAGGTCTTCATGCAAATACCATTACATATACAACAGGTTTCCTGATGCAATATGTGTGCCCGTGCACTTTTCACTGGTATTTTAAATAGGGCAGTATTCCTCCTTCCCCATCACCCTGACTCCCTAGGAGCTTGGCTGAATGGCAAAGAGTATAGGGCTCCCTCACTGTTAATCAGTAATTTCAGTCGGAGGAGCTTGCATGTCAAGCAATACCTGTTGGAAGACTCTTTCTACATAGCTATTAAATATGCAGGATTCCTGTCCTCTTTGGTATCTGATCTTCTTTCCTGTTAATGAAGAATGAAACTGTTTTTGTAGCTGCTTTCTTGAGGTGAATGACAGTTTTTGGAACAGAAGTTATTTGCTGAAACAACAGCACCAGGACAAAGGGTCAAATCCCTCCTCACATTATCATGGGCCCAATCCTCCCCACCTCCAATAGTTACTTAAAAGGAAAAGGGTGCTCTAGACTAGAGTATAGGGTCCACATACATTAAATAAAACAATGAATTCAATGTAGAGGCACGAAGCAAGAATGAGCCCTAGAAAGGACAGATCTTGCTTCCCACATCTACAGGGTCTTTGTATCTGCAAACCTAGCAACTCTTTATCTCTCTCTTTTTTTTCTCCACTCCCATCAAATGTTTCTATAAATGTTTCTATATTATTTTGCCTGAAGTAAAAGTCAAAGCAGATTCAAAGAGAAGGCACACAATAAAAGATAAAAGGTCACCTCCCTGAGTTATTTCTGAAGACATTTGTCAGAGCCAGTGGAGTCTGGGGGCACCTGTAATCAGCCTGTTTCAGGTTTAACTGTTCTTTCATTGGATCAGGTTTCAAACCACAATGGTCTTCCTAGAAAACACCTTTATTTTCACAATGTGGTTGGTAGTGGTAGATGACATATGAGTCCCCTAGGAAGGCTGCTCTGTGACAAATAGTTTGTTAGTGTGCACAATTTTGTCAGTGTGCATTTATTTTTCTCATGCCTTTTTAGATACATGCTCTCCTCCCTGTGCCCACCAAGATCTGTTGTGGTATAGAGGCAATGCAGAGATATCAAGATTCTAGAACCCAAATCTGATACAAACAGAATTGGAAGCCCCTTAACTCTAGTCTCAAATCACAATGCTGATTTTAAAGTAGGCATGTGTAGAGGTCCCCCAATCTCTGTGCCCAAATAAAGGATACACAGATCAGGGCTGACCTCAAGCTCTACCCTTTAGGAGATAGTCTGATCCACTCCTTCACCAAGATCCATGGCATTATCTGTGTATTTGTGCAATTCTGGATCTTCACTAAAGAAAAAAAAGTGCAGCAATGAGGGAATAAATGCATATGAACCCAGAGGGGGGTATGCAGTCTGTCAAATTAGAGGGATACAGTAGATCTTGAATATTGAGTGTACTGTGCTATATTTCCACTCACCTCCAAAGTGTGCTTGGACTAGGAAAAGAGCAAGAATGACCCACGGTTTCACCAGCTGGCTTCCTCCAGTCTCTGGATCCTATGCAGGTGAACCTCTAGTCTTTAAGGTCAATATAATCTTACCCTCTAGGTGTCTGTTCCTTCATTCCTACCTTTCCACAAATGATGTGCCATGAAAGCTAGAAGAAAACTCAATAGATTAAGGAGGTTGCTACAGAAAGGAAGGCTGGTCTTCTACATGTTATATGGTACAGAGGCCAGGTAGCAGTAGTATTTGCACCACCTCAACAAATAAAGGAAGAGGGGGAAATGTCTAGGGCAGGAAGACAGACTGTACCACCATATGTGTTGTGACTCAAAACCCACACAGTAAGTTTTCTTCCACAATAGCACACATGCCCACAGTAAAAATAATATAATAAGTAAAGTTTTGGAAATTAAATTGAGGGGGAAAAAAAGAAATGATAGAATATTCTGTAATACTACATAACAAAAGAATTCGCTTAGTTTGCTCTGGAGCTGTGCAAAAAGGCTGGCCAAGCAGCTGAATGAGGTTATACATACCACACATTGACCTCAGTTTAAGTCCTCTCTAGCGCCTCAGTAGTTGTATTCAGGGAAAGTCTTATATTTTAATGTGAGATACAGCTATCATTCACCTTGTTCGTGGCTCTAGCAGCTCAGCCTACTAATACTGTGTATGCTTTCCATTCCCCCCTCCACTTTTTAGTTCAATTTGGTGAGGTTTTTTTTTTTAAAAAAACATTTAACCTAACAAGTGATGGATGTCAAATAACAGATCGTGAGGTTTTTTTTTTAAAAAAAAAAAAACATTTAACCTCACAAGTGATGGATGTCAAATAACAGATTTGTATGAATATAGCTTCAACTCAGACACAACCAGAGAATCTTTGCTGTGTAGAATTCCACAAATAGATATTTAGTCCATTTTTGAACATTTGTCTGAAGATGGTACACATCCTTATTTGAATTTTTAAAATTATGGAAGTGGTAAAAAGCCTAGAGCCAAGCCTGTCTCTCTTCCAAGTGGTGTCATCATTACCAATAGCACAGTTTTATCAGAGTCAAACCACCTGCCAAGTTTTTAATATGTTACCGTACTTGGCACTGTTGCCATGAACAGGGACTCCAGAGTAAGGTCATGGCATGGGGAGAAGGGGGTTAACTCCTCTATCTGGCATTGCATGCAAGATGCCGTCCCCAGAAGGTGTATTTGGTTCCTGTCATCATTGTTGTATCTACAGATTTGTAGAGCATCCTTCTTCCCAGAAATATCTGCAGTTCTCCAACAATGGAGAACAAACTGGTAAAAGCTTCATATTCAAGATAGCATTTTAATAAAGCAGTTGCTGTTATGTTTTTTAAATTTTAGATTATTATTTTTTCTTTAATAATGACTGGTGAATTTGTAAAAATATGTTGTATTGTATTGAAAATAGGGGTGCTGTGAGAAGGCCAAGGGGTGCTTCTCCGCAAAACTTTGGGGCAAGGTTTTGTGGAGATACCTCACAAGATGTCCCTAAACCATTTTGAAGTTTGTAAAAAAATTTTTGTCTAAAGTTAATCTTATTCTCATAGTGAGCTATTGTTCACAAATAGCTGGTAAGGCCACAACCACCACATGGAAATGTTTTCATTAAAAAATATTTCCCAGTGGGATAGTTTGTTGTAAGGAGGGGGGAACCTTAAATGTCTACTGGGTGTGGTGCCTTGAAGACTAAAAAGGTTTTTTTGCACGATCTTTTCTAGAGTATAAGCTGCATCATCAGATGCAAGTGGGCTGCAACAGCCCATGAAGGCTTCAGCCAAACAAAACATCTTAATCTTTAAGATTTATTTATTTATTTATTTATTTATTTATTTATTTATTTATTTATTTATTTATTTATACCGCCCATCTAGATGAATCTACTCTGGGCGGATGCTGCAAGAATCTTTGTCTTAAAAATGGCATGACAAACAGATTATATGCTTTAGTCTTTGGAGGAAAGAGTGCATGCATTTTAAATAGTGTTTTTTTTTTAAATTTAAATTGTGCCTCAGAAAAATGTAAATGTCTCCAAGGGGAGGATCTCTCTCCCTCTCCCTCTCCCTCTCCCTCTCTCTCTCTCTCTCTCTCTCTCTCTCTGTGTGTGTGTGTGTGTGTGTGTGTGTGTGTGTGTGTGCGCGCGCGCGCGCTGGAGTGGCAGTAGGTCCCACCAAACATCTGCTGCTGTGTTTCAGTAGGGACAGGCTGTTTCTGGCAATCTGTAAGAGCTGCCTTGGCTCAGCTTGTCCACTGGGAGTTTCCTTGGAAACTGATTGTCTAGGTGGAAAAGGTCAAGGAGAAATACAGAAGCCCCATTGCCCCCTTGTGGGGGAGGCTGTCAGACCCTTGGGAAATCATAATCAATATCCGTATGTCTATTTGCAAAGTCAATGCCAGGTTTGGATGTTCCTTTTGAACACCTAAGCTGAACAGGAGTTTCAAATGAAATAGTAACGGAAGTGTACAGAACATCCTGGGCTAAAGATTTGTGGAGAAAATTTGCGTTATCAGTTTATTCTGAAATGCAGATGATTTGATTAAAACACTTTTTTTAGCAGAAGAGGGGTAAATGTAGAGTGTGATTTTTAAAAAATAATTTCAATTTAATGTACATTTATTTCATTTTGTTCAGTTATTCAGTTTCTCCACATGGTGAGGGGAGCACACAAGCCCATCCCCTGTGCCCAGGATACTGGTTTATGTGGAGAACCTAGGCAGAGTTTCTCTAGTCTCCAGAAAGTCACTTCCATACGAGGAAGAGGATAATGGAGGAGGAAAGGCTAACTCACTTCCCTCCTTATCTGTGTAGTACACACTCTTTAATAATGACCAAATCTATCTATACTTCTTGACGTTTTATGATATGTTTCTAAACATTCTAAGTACTCAGATGACTGAGAAACAAGGAACACAAAAGCCCAGGAAAGGCAGGAATTGTAAAAAGAATATAAGCGATGCCATCAGACTGATAGTATTATCAGACTGTTGGCTAATTACTTCCATATGTCTAAGCTGCATGTAACTGCATATATGTGAGTGTATGTGTGTGGGTGTATGTATAAGAGATGAAGGTGGAAGGGAAACACCTGCCCTCCACTTACACAGACCACAGGTAATCCCTTGTTTATTGTTATGGGCTGGGTTGCCTTGATAAAAAGTATGAAGAAGGTTCAACAATCAGCCAGTTCAAAGAGAACTAGATGTTGCTTAATGGAATGAGCTCTCTCTCTAACACACATCAGAACGAGGCACAGAATGACAACTGATCTAGCAGTTTTCCAGAAAGATTTGTGAATTAGATGTTGACAACTCTGAGTTACAGTTGGGTCTGTGGTGCCACTTTTGCTCAATTTGGTGCAGGATTCGCATTTGTGCTTTTTTTTTCTGGAAAATTCTGCTTGTGTCCAAAGTGATACATTTGTGAGTAACTAGACATTAGAAAGATGTAAAAAAATCTTGAATTTATTCTCCTTCGAGGAAGAGGGAATCATGTGATTAAGAAATGAGTATTGTTTTCCCCTCAGCTTTCTGATTTTTCTCCTTATCTCCTTTCTTCTTTCCTTAAAGATTCTCCAGGACACACCAGTTCTGCACCAGCAAATCTGCAACCTGTCCCTCTTACGGGGAATTCCATAGATGGTCACTCCAGTTATTTTGAGGTTCCCCTCAGTGGTTCAAGGACTCTCTCTTCCCCTCTGAGTTCAGTTGGGTCCGGCAATACAATGAGCTCCCCGTACAGAGTAATCACATCCTCCTCTATTGGAGCACATTCTGTCCCTTTAACTGCACAACCAGGCATGAATTTTGCTGCACACCCTAATCCACAGGTAGGTACATGCAGTTAATTTGTTGACTGTATATTGTGCTCTACATGGGGCTATGTTTTCAGATATTGCAACTGCTTCAAATGGTGCTGCCAGACTGGTGCCTGGACACAAATATGCAGAACATAGGATTCCTGTATTGCAATAAATAATTGTACTGGTTTCCAATTCATTTCTGAGTTGACTTTAGAGAGTTCATCATGACCCCTAAAGCCCTAAAATGATTAGCACTAGGTTGTTCAAAGGACTTTCATCTCTACTATAATCCTGCCCAAGAATTCTTCTGGAGAGGGTGACTTCCTGCCAACATCTGGGCTGCTTCTTGGGGATGCACAACAGGACCATCTTATCAATTCTTAATTTCTTCTTTTAGTTCTCTCTAAAATCTTTCAATTCATTCTCCTTTTCATTTTATTCTTCTTTTTAGAAGAATTTGATTTATCTTTCTCTTAATCCATTACTATATTAAATCTCCTACTGTTATTACAAACTCCTTCCAAGTCTCTTCTAATCCATAAAAAAACCTTGATTTTTTATTCAGAGCATATTAATTAGCATGTTTTCCTCCCCTCCCGTTACACCTTGAAATATTATATATCTCCCCTATCAACTTTTTTTCATTTTATTCAGTGGTAGTTCACATTTCTTAGAGATAATACTTGCAATCTCTCTTGACTTTGAATTGCATATGCCTTTTCAATATCAGTCCAAGTTTATTTGAGTTTATTCACCCCATCTTTTGTTTGATGACTTTCTTGTAAGAAAATTATATCTGTTTCATCTTCAGTTAACCACCACCCCCAGGCCTTTTACATTTAAAGTTGAAATTCTTAAAATTTTAAACACATCCCCATTCTGTTTCTCTAATGTAAACAATTACCATAATAAAGACCAAAACTCAAGCACCCCATACCTATCACCTTTATCCCACCATTTTCCTGATCTCCCACTTTAACACATACCAGCATTATCCTCCTCATTCCACCAGGGTTTTGACACCACAATCATAGCTTGTTCCCAAACCCACAGGAGGAGGACCCATTCATCATCCCAGCAGAAAGCCACTAACCATTCCCTGATCTTCTAGTTCTTATTTCTATATAACCCTATTTCTCTTATACCAACTATTAACCTTTTGCACTTAATAATATCTAACTCTTCAGAGGGGTAGATAATATCCTCTTATTCATATTTTATGCTAAACTAATAATTAATTAACAACATTTCCCCTATTTTTAAATTCCCACAAATATCATCATATTCAAATATATCTAAATATACAACTACTGTCTATTTAACAACACTCTTAGGATTATCTACCACTTTAAAAAAAACATCCTCTTTTAACCACTCATAATTTATCCTTTACATTTGTCATTACAAATAATAAAACCCAAACTCTATTTAACTATAATTTAGCTCTTAAATTTTACCTTTTCTTTTCCAGTGGTAGATTAAAAACAAAGTAAAGCAAAAAGTGTGTTGCTTATATACCACCCCATAGTGCTGTAAACACTCTCTGAGAGTTTTGCAATTTAATTATGTAGCCTATACTTTGTTCCCACCCCCCAGTTAACTGGGTACTCCGTTTACCAACCTCAGAAGGATGGGAGGTTGAATCAACCTCAAGACAGCTACCTGAGTCTGTTGGGATCGAACTCAGGTTGTGAACAGAGTCTCGACTACAGTTTAACCATTACACTAAAAGGCTCCTCAACACAGAACATATCTTAAAAGACCCTTAGTTTACCAGTTAACATTTCTTCATTTGCCATTTCCTTAATTTTTACCTTTCTGGGTTTACTAATATATCTCTAATTAATCTCACCTGGGTTTCCAGGTTAACCAACAATTCACATTTATTTAATATAGCCTGTCCCACCAATAATTAAAACATAACCCTTAATTTACACCCTACATTTCTTCTTGAGAATTTTTCCATTTAAAAAAATAACTTCATGTCCCTGTTCTCCCCCTCCCCCTGGGCTAAGCTCAGTCAACTGCTGATTCACCAATTGCTCCTTCCTGATTTTCTTCCCCCTCAGAATTGGTACATTGATTTTCTTCTTTTATTTCCTCCCAACAACCTCTTTTGTCCATTATTTATCACCAGTCAAGCACCACTTATGAAGCAAGTCCAAGCCTTAATCCACCAAAGTTACTATATGATATTCTCCAGTGTAAAAAAAACACTCTTATACTGGATACCCCAAATTATATGTTATATTCGTCCTCAAGAGGATGGCCATTATTGGCTTTAAGGCCTTTAAGGATGCAGTTTGAATGATACATGACAACTTTCCAGATTCTTCTCCAGCCACTTTCATAAACCAAATCTTTCTTGTAAAATTAGCAAATCTGACCATGACATCTCTTGGGGTCATGCCAGCCTGGTATTTAAATCACGGTGCACTCTCTCTATGTCTTTTTGAACCTGAACCAGGAGCTTCACATTTTTGTCCTTCCTTTGTCTTCCAAATCAGTCATTTTCTTCAATTCATTCATTTTATTTTCTTGTCTGTACAGTTTTCCAGCATTTGCTTTAACCATCTTATCCAATTCATCAACTTTGGAATTCATTTTCCCCCCAAATGTCTTTAAGTGCCATAATATAAGTAAGCAGAAATCATAGGTGGAGCACTATCCAACAGAACTTTAAGTTCGAATTATAAGTGATACTTCAGCCTGAAGGAATATCATCATGCCTCCAATTTGTTTTCTCTCACTGGACAAGATTACACATTCCACATAGCCATTACAATAAGAAATCCATTAGTCTTCCAAAAATATGGTTCAGGCAGACCTTTGTGATTGTGTAGTGATACTTGGAAACAAGCTCCATGCTTATGTACAAATGACCAATAGCAAAATCATTACAATAAGAAATCCATTAGTCTTCCAGAATTATGGTTCAGGCAGACCTTTGTGATTGCGCGATGATACTTGGAAACAAGCTCCATGCTTCTGTGCAATGACCAATAGCAAAACAAAGACTAACTATGGTAATTTGCAGCCTATGGGAGGCATGAAAAGCTTCTGCTGTGACAATCAGACATTCTTAGCCCTTAATGAATCCCATTTTCACTGTCATATCTAATTTGGTCTTCTCTTTATGTTTCCAGCTTAACGTCATGAACAGTGTCAGCAGCTCTGAAGACATCAAGCCGCTGTCAGGCCTGCAAGAGACAGGAGCTGTGAACTACGGCTCCACAAATCCAGGATCCATGACTAAGCATAGCTGTGCCATTTGTGGGGACAGGTCATCAGGTACCAAAGCCCATTTTTTGTTCTTAACTATGACGTTCTATAAAGATGCTTGATTAGGCAGTATTCACCAAATCTTACAGTAAAATATTATGACCCTCAACCCTATTTCATACAAATTTCTGATTCATAGTCAATTCTTAGCATGACCATTCTTCCTGGAATCAGGTATAAATGCAAAGGTCTGAGAATTTCCTGGCTTATATGATCGTGGACACGTAAGTGATTTCTGTCAAATCTTAGCATGACCATTCTTCCTGGAATCAGTTATAAATGCGAAGGTTTGAGAATTTCCTATGTGATTGTGGACACATAAGTGATTTCTGTCAAGAAGGCTCTTGAGTACTGCAACTTTTATAAGCACTTCCCTCGTGACATGGTTAAAATTAGTAATTCCTGCTTCTCTTGCTTATTTGAGCCTTTCTTATTGGTATCCTCCCCAAAGATCAAATGCTGCAGTCTTGAACAATAACTCTGGAACATGCTATCCATAGGCTTTGCTGGCTTTGTTTGGTTTGTGACAGCAGAGATTTTTAGTGCAGAATTTGAGTGGAGAAATTCATGGAAATATCTAGCTGTGGTGACTAGCCAAGAGGCAACTGACCAGACATGTTCCATTCATTTTAATGGGATTCTGCTCTTTGTGGCCTTTTGAAAACACAGAACACGATGGCTTCATTCTGTTGCGCTCTCTGGATTGAGGCTCTGTGAACGTGGGCCAGATTAAAGGTTACACTGGAGACCTGTTGAGAGGTTCCTTCCCAACAGTCTTTTCTTGAAATTGTGGCCGTTGAAGGCTCCAAGTTTTGTTGAAACAGCAGTAGGAAAGAGGAAGTGCTTAAGCCTTTGTCCACAAACTGGTTGCTATTTACTAAGAATGCCCTCCCACACTCTTCCCCCCCAGGATAAAAAGAAACAAATACGGATCCACAAATTCACCCTGCTATGAGAAAGCAGATTTGGGTGGATTTTAATGGGGACAATGGCTCATGGCAAAAGAATTAAGTGACCCCTGTTTTTCTAACCCCCTTTCTCAATTTTTAATTGGCATGTAATTAAACAAAATTCTCATATTTTCCCTTTTTCTCCCTCCCTCCCTCCTGCTCACTCTCTCACATCCACAAACCACTTGGTGTAAGAGGCAGCACGTGTTTCTGCATCACATATAATTTGGTTTTTGACCTATGTTTTGTATAGTTCACAGACAATTCATTTCCCTTCATGTGGAGTTAAGCATGCCAATGTTTAAATAAACTTGGAACACAATATGCTACAAGTTGAATTATTTTTTTACAGTATTGAATTAAACCAATACATCCAAATATGTTTTGACCTCAGATTTCTGGTGTTTCACATTTGAAGCTTTCAGTCACTGCAACTGTAGTTCTGTGTGAGTCTCTCCTCACATTTTAATAAAGTTAATAAACCACTCTAAACATTTGGAGGTAAATGTCATATATTCAAATTATAAGCAAATATGGATATAGAATTGAGTGTTAGACAGAATTGTTGCCTTTCACATTCTCACACTTTATTTCATTTAAAGTACCAATACTCCCAATGTTTTTTTTTATTTTGCAGACAAAGAGGTTTTCCCCCCAAAGAGAGATTACAGTGGTTTGGGAGAAAAGATCACTGCTTATATGCTTATGTGTATTCCATCTTTGCCCCTAGTCAAATAGGTTAAGCAGAATGTTGAGACAATGTCAAAACCTGTTAGAGTGCACGTAACCATGTAGATGGTAAGCAACCATGAAAGAAGAAGAATCTGTGTATTTATCCACCATGAGCAATTTTGCATCTTCCAAATAACTTTTTAACTCTTTCAAGCACTTTCCATACAAGGGGGGTTGTTTTCTGTTGTTATTGTTGAGTCGTTAAGTCATGTCCAACTCTTTGTGACCCCATGGACCACAGCACGCCAGGCCCTCCTGTCTTCCACTGCCTCCCGGAGTTGGGTCAAATTCATGTTGGTACCTTCAATGACACTGTTCAGCCATCTCAACCTCTGTCATCCCCTTCTCCTCTTGCCTTCACGCTTCCCCAACATCAAAGTCTTTTCCAGGGAGTTTTTTCTTCTCATGAGATGGCTTCTCCTCTTGCCTTCACACTTTCCCAACATCAGTAGCCTTTTCCAGGGAGTCTTCTCTTCTCATCAAATGGCCAAAGTATTGGAGCCGCAGCTTCAGGAGCTGCACTTCCAGTGAGCACTCAGGGTTGATTTTCTTCCAAATGGATAGGTTTGTTCTCCTTCTAGTCCAGGAGACTCTCAAGAGCCTCCTTCAGCACCACAATTCAAAAGCATCAATTCTTCAGCGCTCAGCCTTCTTTATAGTCCAGCTCTCACTTCCATACATCACTACTGGAAAAAACATAGCTTTGACTATACGGACTTTTGTCGGCAAGGTGATGTCTCTGCTTTTTAAGATGCTGTCTAGGTTTGTCATTGCTTTCCTCCTAAGAAGCAGGAGTCTTTTAATTTCGTGGCTGCTGTCACCATCTGCAG